GCAGAACCTCAGAAGGGCTGTGTGTGTGTGGTCATGTAGCTAAGAGAAGGCATCGCTGACAGCCATGACAAGCTATCTGACTTTGTATCTACGTTAAAACGCAAGACAAAACAAAAGGGTTGTGAGCATTTTAGCTCTGGTAGTGGGGCCACAGCACAGAGAGGCCAGGCATTGCATGGCTGCTGTGAGCATTCAAACAGGCACAAATTACGTGAGCACTAAGAGCAGGCACAGGTCTCTGAGTTGCAGCCTAGTCAAATCCATTAGGTAGGTTCCTATCACTGGGTACAAACTATCCTTATGGCAGCATTCCAATGAAAGATGCCAGAGTGCAACATGAAAATGGAGGGGTGTGCTGCACATGGAGCAGAGTTGTACCATGAGAGTGCAATGAGACTGCCTCATGTCCACAAACCTTGACATGGGACAAGGGTTGTATGTATTCACTACTCTCAGGAGCATGGCCTGAGACATTGACTGGTGTCCTAGATGGTGGTCTGGAGGAGCAAGAGGTGAGCTGGAGTCACCAAGTACCTGCTCTGATATTCATGTTGGGAATTGTCACTATCTAGGTTCTATCTGGCAGAGTGGGTAATTGTATATAAGTAAGGTGCAATTAAATAACAAGATCTTAATGCATATAAATAACCTCTTCTCACTCACTGGTGAGAACCTTGTGTCACTGTTCAAGATTTAATGGAGCATAGGATTCCTTCCTATTGATGCCAAGATGTTCCTCACTGCTGATCTCATGTCTGCTCATCAATGCCCACTTTGTTCAGTCGCTGGGAAGATTCTGCTCTTAAGAACCTTTTATTTAGTCTCAATGTGGGCCATGAGATCTGCCCTTGGTGGATACTGGGTGGCAGGCAGGGAGGATGTAATGATGTGAATAATTGGCATCAGTTGGTATTGAGTTGGCATATGGACTATAAAGGGCCATGAGCGAGTGGCTTGGTGGAATGGTCGTCCTGCAGTGTGGGTAGAGGATCATAGGTCAGCATGAAAGGTATGAGGGCTTGGGGATTCAGTGAATCATAAAGCAGCATGGATGATATGAGGAGATTCGGGAAATGGGGCGGCGGGGGGGGTGGATCATGAGGTTTCACACGTTGGCATGGATGTTGTATGTGAGGGCTAGAATGCTTTTATTTGTTGCAAGAGCAAACTGTGCCCTAAAGCTTTGTCTCATTCTTCAGAGGTCAACCTTTCACCCACATCAGCAGCCCCTGAATATTTATGATAGAGTCAAAACATAGGAACAACTTGGTCCAACTCACCTGTGCTGACCAGATATCCTACATTAATCCAGTGCTGTTTGCCAGCATTTGGCCCATATCCCTCTAAACCCTTCCTATGCATATGCCCCTCCAGATGCCTTTTAAATGATGTAATTGTACCAGCCTCCACTACTTCCTCTGGCAGCTCATTCCACATACACACCACCCTCTGTGTGAAAAAGTTGTCCCTTAGGTCCCTTTTAAATCTTTCCCCTTTCACCTTAAACCTATGCCCACTAGCGCCTAACAAAGCATTGCCCACCCAGTCCACATAACACACAATGCACTGCAGAGCTGAGAATTGACCTGCCTCAGTGCTCCTGATGTGGGTGTAAACTTTGTGCCTGAACATACCTGCACAACTGCTCCTTATGTGCAATTGCTGAGAAAGTTGCGCGTACTTAATAGCAAGTGCTATCAGTCTGTTAGTAGCAGGAAAACCTGGGCCAGTGCTTCCATGAAAGTAAGAGCTAAACAAATTGGACAAGTTTCCCAGTTGGATATTTCCATAAATTGATTAATATAAGTAGCTTGCTTTCCCCTTCCCCGCCAACTCTTTAGTTTTGTTACTAAGTCTCATTGCGTATAAAAAGGGATGGTGCAAATGCCACCAGTCTCAAAGAAGAGCAATTCATTGCTCTTGCAATTCTTGGCATCTGGTTAATTTCACTCTGGCAACCTGTCTAAGTGGTGGGTTACTCAATTTTAAACAACGCTATGCATTAGTGACATCGGTTTGGAACGTACTGAAGCTGTTATTCATTCACACACTAAATCCACCTTCTTTGATCCCAGGTCTTTTTTCACTCCTGTTCTACCTCCTAAATAAGATTGTTGTGTCAACCTAGGGTGCTGAGAAGCTTTATTGCAAAACTGGGGACATTAATTATTTACAAATTACAATTTGAACAAAGATTGAATGTATTTGGTGACACATTAATTTCCTTCCCTGATCAGATTTAACTTGTATGAAAGGAGGCTCCTCTAATTCTTCCACTGAACAATATGGCTAGGCTGATGCTGAGTGTCCAGTACCTGAAATCACATCAGCTAACCTTGTGGAACTACTGCTTTCTCCATTTTTTTTTAAAAGGGTTAACTAATGCTGCTGACAGTGAGCCATTGTCAGTTATCATCAATACTATATTCTATTCCTGAGCAGGCATGGCATTTTTTTTGCACCTTTTTTTGTATGTCGTTTCACAACATTTCTATTGAAAACGTTATTTTGATAAAAATTGCCACCTTAGTCAGTGACGCAAATTTTCCATTGCTAAATGAAATTAATTCTTTGGTAAAATTTTCAGGAAGATTGCTGGCTTTTTCTTTTTCTGACTTTTAAACATATGTGTTTTTCTGCTGCACATCAAATGACGGGAAGTTTTGCAACGTCTACTGTTCACCCTAGCGAGCAGAAATACAGCATTTGTTTGCTATTCAAAATAATAGTGTTCTACCTTTTTTTTGTTTTGATATTCAATTAAATAAAAAAGTTTGATTTCAATTCACTCGTTAATGCTAATGACTGACTGACTGCTCTAGTAACTATTTTAAAAAAAAAATTAATATAGTCACTGGCCATCATGGCCTTAAGTGGAATTCATGTCACACATATCCTTGAATTAAATTTAGGTATCACTTCTCTGGATAAGTTGGTGTATTCTTCTGATCTGCAAAAGACGCTCTGAAGTCCAACAGTCCTACTCCAGAATGATTTTGCTGTAAATTTTGTACACTTTGAATAGCAGTATATCAGTCAGTAGAGATGGGTGACTTCAAATCCTAGGGCTGACAATTAAGTAATTTACATCCGATATTCTAGGTCCTGTTGTCACAGAACTCTACAACAGAGGTAAAGCAAATTAAATTAATGTAGCACGACACAGCAACTGTGATTTTAAACTTTTCTAACCCAATACAAGGTGCCATAGTTAGAATGTTCAAATAGATTCCTTTCACCTAATTTTCAATGCTTTCTTAAATTGACTTTGGAAAGTTTTGCAGATCCAAAGATTTGAAAAACGTCAGCGGTTCTCATGATATTCCAATGATGGAAATTATGATAAGTCTTAGTGATAGAGATATACAGCAGTGAAACATACCCTTTGCTTGAACTCGTCCATGGCAATCAGATATCCTATGTAAATGTAGACCCATTTGCCAGCATTTGGCCTATATCCCTCTAAACCCTTCCTATTCATATACCATCCAGATGCCTTTGAAATGTTGTAATTGGACCTGCCTCCTCCAATTCCTCTGGCAGTTCATTCCATTCATGCACCAGCTATTGCATGAAAAAAGTTGCCCCTTAGGTCCCTTTTATGTCTTTCCCCTCTCACCTTAAACCTATGCCCTCTAGTTTTGGACTCCCCCATGCCAAGGAAAAGGCCTTCATTGAAGTTGCCTTTTCTTATTCTTCAGTCTATCGTTATGGTGTTTTAATGCTGTTTGCCACTCTTTCATTTGAGGGGAGAAAACTAGATTTTCCATCACAACCAAACTAAGTCAGAATCTCAACACCGAAAATATTGAGATCACTTTCCAAAGAAACATAGAATATACAATGGGAAGACACTCAGCCCAATATGTCCTCATTGAATATTAAGCATTTCTCAACTCATTTCAGCTATGGGTCACCATTGGTTCTGTTAGAAGGTTGTACCCTGTCGTGGCTCAAACAATAAAGAGTCAAAGTTAACACACTAGCACAGTTAGTTTTTATAGCACAATTTTGAAGACCACGGGAGTTATCCCTTGTGTCCTGCCCAATGTTTTATCCCCAGTCAGCATCATAAAACAGATTGTGTTTATTATCAAATTGCTGTTGGGGGTGCTTTTTGTGTATAAATTAGCTGCCCATTTCCTAGATTACAGCAACAACAGCAAAAAAACATTCATTTCCTGCTGAACCTTTTGGGACATTCTGTGGTCAGGACAGACTTTTTAGCAATGAATTTCTGTGTTTCTTTGCTGGAACAATCCACAAATTAATCCTGCTGCTGGGTTATCTCTCTCCCAATACCTTTCTGTTTTCAAATACCTTTTCTCTTTAATATGTACTGTCCCGTAATTTAGCCTGAAAGCATTCTATGCTCCAGCAATGCTGAGTAAAGAAATTTCTCTTAACCTGTCTGCTGATTTATTTTTAAACCGTCCCTTTTCTCAATTAAGTCACCAAAAGGAATAGAATGAGTAGGGAGAGATGATTGAAATGATCCATTATTTTAAAGACTCCCTCTATCTCCCCCACTTTCTCTTTTCCAGTGGAAATGGCCCCAGTACCTTGAGTCTTTTAACATAATGCTAGTTTATCATATGTTCAGGATTCCTTTCTCTTGTTAAAATACTTATTGGAGGTCTATTTATTAAATATGTTCACATTTTATATTCCATTTGCAAGCATTTTCAATAAAATTAAACCCTTAAAGTAAGATTTTTTTTTTGTTTATATAACTGAAGACTGCAATGAATGGGTAACTGAGTATTCTTTGGCCCAAAGTGATAGTGTTTGAAATCCAACCTTGATGAAAAGAACTTAACAGCATTGAAGTAGTAATTTGTTTCAAACAATATTCTAATTTGTCACTATTTCTATTTAATTTCATAAATCTCTTCTCTTCTGCAGCCTCACCTTCCATCCCAAACAACCCACCACCCACCGCCCAGCCAAACATGAGGTTGCCTTGTGTCTAACTCATTGTTTGCTGTATTCTTCCACAGCTATGACTCTGGAAGGGATGGCTTTATTGACTTGATGGAACTAAAGTTGATGATGGAGAAACTTGGAGCCCCTCAGACTCACATTGGCTTGAAAAAAATGATCAAAGAAGTAGATGAGGATTTTGATGGAAAGCTGAATTTCCGAGAGGTGAGAATATGGAGATATGTAAATTAATGCAATAGATATGTTTTCCACAAATGTACCTTGAAATACTTGTGACTGTAATCAGCATTTGTCCAGTGGAAGTGAGTATTTCATCTTAGGGCATGTATACAATCCATTCATACAGTAGTATACTGTTACTTTTAATTTCTGAGGAAGGGTCACCAGACCAAAAAGTTAACTCTGACTTCTTTTCACAGATGCTGCCAGACCTGCTGAGCTTTTCCAGCAACGTCTGTTTTTGTTACTTTTAACTTCCCTGCCTGGCAAACGGGTAAAATCTATTTAAAGCTACATTGACTGTTAGTGCAGGGAAATCTAGTTTCTCAACTTTGGAGGAGAAATGAAATGTTTGTGATAGTTGGCACAGTAAATGGAGGAGGAGGGGAATAATAACCCTGTCCAACTATATGTTGTTAACGAGATGGATAGAGCAAACTTCCTTAAGTGTTCACTGAAAACTGGAGTTTATGTTGCAAACCATAATGAAAATGTAGCAAAATATTTTTATGTGCCTGTAATAAACCTATTGTGGAAGATTGTACCACTTTTTACCCATTCCTGCCTATGCGCCAACCACCTACGTTTATAGGTTATAATTGCCTGCATATGTTCTTTCATACTTCTTATAAAGTGCTCCAAATTCTTTAAATGGTAAAATTCTGAATTAATTGGGAGAAAATAATAATTGATTTTTATCAACACTTGCAAAATGCATATTAATTTTATTAAGTTTTACTGAGGGATGTAATTTTGTATGAGGTGAATATCTTGTAACTTGTCTGGGCCCACATGACCAAATTGATGTAAAAATATACAACTGCTCAGTCAACAATGTTAAAGCTCAAGTCAGTCTAGAAAAAGGATAAACAGTTTATTTCTTGTCTTAAAAGACAAGAAATCTGTTGATATGAAGAGACTAAATTCCTATGGTTCTTATTCAGCTGTTTAGCGAGGGAATCGAGCAAGTTTTATACCTTTACTGTATTGCATCATGATCTCTTTTCCCACTAATTCTGAAACGATCCAAACAGCACCATAATTGGAATTTCTGCCGAAGTATTTGCCCTGGTAATGTCTGTTTTGTAATATTTGACCAGTACTGAAATCCTTTCTTAAAATTACACTGTCTACCTACATAATGTTAAAGCCAGTAATTGCAATCCAAACTTGAGATAGTCTCCTTCAATGACAAGAGTATTAAGTATATGTGATTAGGCAAATAGCTGTTCAAAACTATGAATTGTAAATTATTATTGTTTACACCAACAAGATGTATTTGCCTGGATTTAAAGCCCTAAACCTTTGACACAGTCTTGGTATGTGTGTAGACTTAAACTATATGTACCCAAGTTGTGAATCTCAATCTCTCTTTTATTCTGCACCTCCTGCTTTCTTTGCATTTTTAAGCAAATCAGCAGGCTGCTGTGGAGGAATTTTTAATTTTTTTTCCCCCCTGGAGCTAGCCTGATCTTATGAGTGCTGAAGAAGTTTATTTAAGAGGACTCCTGAACTGGCTATGTGGTATTTTGTTTCTTGGGAAACTGCTGGTATATAACTATTTATTCACCCAATAAAAAGGAGAGATTATTGGTTTGTGATCTTTTCTTATTGTAGAGTAGCTAATTTCGAGTCACAGAATTTTACGCACAGACCCTTTGATCCAATTCATCCATGCCGACCAGATAGCCAAAATTAATCTAGTCCCATTTGCCAGCATTTAGCCCATATCCCTCTAAACCCTTCCTATTCATATACCCATCTAGATGCCTTTTAAATGTTATAATTGTACCAACCTTTGCCACTTTTTCTGGCAGCTCATTGCATACACGTACCAGCTACTGTGTGAAAAAGTTGGCGCTTTGGTCCCTTGTTATATCTTCCCTCTCTCACCTTAAACCTATGCCCTCTAGTTTTGGACTCCCTTACCCTGGGGAAAGGACCTTGGCTATTCACCCTATCCATGCCCCTCATGATTTTATAAACCTCAATAAGGTCACCCCTCAACCTCTGATGCTCCAGGGAAAATAGCCCCAGCCTGTTCAGCCTCTCCCTATAATTCAAACCCTCCAACCATGGCAACAATCTTGTAAATATTTTCTGAACCCTTTCAAGTTTCACAATGTCCTTCCTATTGCAGGAGTCCAAAATTGAATGCAGTGTAGATACTAGAACAAATTGGGCTGAATTTAATGAGGATACCCTTGAAAGTTGATCTTGTTAAATAATTTGTTATATATAAACATAAGAACATAAGAACTAGGAGCAGGAGTAGGCCGTCTGGCCCCTCGAGCCTGCTCCGCCATTTAATAAGATCATGGCTGATCTTTGAGACTCAGCTCCACTTACCCGCCCACTCACCATAACCCTTAATTCCTTTACTGGTCAAAAATTTATCTAGCCTTGCCTTAAAAACATTCAGCGAGGTAGCTTCAACCGCTTCACTGGGCAGGGAATTCCACAGATTCACAACCCTTTGGGTGAAGAAGTTCCTCCTGACCTCAGTCCTACATCTGCTTCCCTTTATTTTGAGGCGATGCCCTCTAGTCCTAGTTTCAAACTACTAAACATTTGCCATTATGACTTATAAATGTTAAACATGTAGTTCTTGAATCTGTCACCAAGCCTTTAAGTTGTTTCTGCACTGTAATTCGCCATGATGTACCTTCATATATCCTTCCTCCAATCCTATAATATTACTGCTATTGCTAAATATGCTTTTTCTAATTTGTTAATTACAGTACATTGTTCAGCAAATGGTTTTGCTTTAGCAGATCCATTATGACTTGTTTTCTATTTATTTTTTCCAAATATAACTGTTGTCTACTTTGCATTTTCAATGTCAGTAATAATGTGGCAAATATATAATTATAATAAAGGAACACAAGAACAGAAATATCAATGTTTGTTTATTAAGAACAAACTCAAAAGATTCATATTGCCATGTGGCCTTGATAAAGAATGATTTTGCCCTTGCTGGAAAGCTTTTCTAAGCATGTCTGTAGTGGGAAAATGCAGCTAGACTCGCAGAATAATGAAAAATGTTGATCATCCATACTAGATATTGACTTGATAAAAATGGATTATGCATCATATTCTGAGTAACATCTTTTTCTTTTACTTCATTTACTTCCTTGGATGAAGTTTGGATTGCTGACTTTTGGAGTCTTCAGAAATTACACACAAAATATTCTTACACTTCTGTGAGTAATCCAGAGAAAAATACATTACAGCATTTAGAATAGTCCTTTCCTTAAGGTAGGAATCTGCAAAATGGTAGAGTAGGGGAAGGGTGCTTGGAAAGGCAACTTGACTATTAAGTCAAGACAAAGTCAACTGGCAAGGAAGAACTTCAGAATGGAGACATTGAAGAGGAACAGGAGTTTGGCAGAGATAGCAAGAAGTGCTGATGCTAGAGTCACAGACAATACAGTGTGGAGCTGGAGGAACACAGCAGGCCAGGCAGCATCAGAGGAGCAGGTGTTTTGGGTCAGGACCCTTCTTCAAAAATGGGGAGGGGGAATGGAGCTGGGAAATAAATAGAGACAGGAGGGGTGGGGCTGGAGAAGGGAGGTGGGATGGTGATAGGTGAGTGCAGGTAGGGGGTCGTAGGGATTGGTCAGTGGGATGGGTGGGGCGATAGGTGGGAGAGAAGATGGACAGGTCGTCAGGTCTTCCTCTTCCTCCGCTACATCGATGACTGACTGTATCGGCACTGCCTCGTGCTCCCACGAGAAGCTTGAACAGTTCATCAACTTTGTTAGCACCTTTCACCCCAACCTCAAAAATCTTGAACTCAGCTAACACTCTGCAGCATTAATGCTCTCTCACCAAGATCTGTTCCTCCATTATCCTTATGTTCACTAATCTAAATTCATTCATCCCTATTCCCAAATTCCTTGCTGGTTTCACCCCTCCCTGTCTCTCCACTCGTGAATCCTTGCAACCCATGGTACCACTAGCTTATGGAACTCTGCGATCCCTTTTAAAATTTACCTATGCACAGCTTAAAGAGAATATTTGGACCATCTCCGATACCACCTCCTCCTTCCTGGACCTCTCCATCTCCATCTCTGGTGACTGCTTCGAAACTGACATCTATTTCAAGCCCACCGACTCCCACAGTTACCTGGACTACACCTCCTCTCACCCACCCTCTTGCAAGAATGCGATCCGCTACTCCCAATTCTTCCACCTCCGCCATGTCTGCTCCAAGATGGGGCGTTCCACTCCCAATTATCCCAGATGTCCTCCTATTTCAAGGACCATAACTTGCCCCCTCCAGTGATTGAAAATGCCCTCAACTGCATCTCTTACATTTCCCGCACTTCTACCCTCATACCCCCTCCCCCCAACAAAAATAAAGACAGAATCCCCCTTATCTTTACGTATCACCCCACCAACCTCCGCATTCAGCGTATCATTTTCCGCCACCTACAATCTAACCTTCACTGGAGGAGGGGGCTCCACAAATTTCCCCATCGTCAATGATGGAAGAGCCCAGCACATCACTGCAAAAGATAAGGCTGAAGCATTCACAGCAATCTTCAGCCAGAAGTGCTGAGTGGATGATCCATTTCGGCCTCCTCCAGTGGTCCCCAGCATTACAGATACCTGTCTTCGGCCAATTCGATTAACTCTACGTGATATCAAGAAACGGTTGGAGACACTGGATACTGCAAAGGCTATGGGTCCTGACAACATTCCAGCAATAGTACTGAAGACTCGTGCTCCAGAACTTGCCGCTTCCCTAGGCAAACTGTTCCAGTACAGTTACAACACTGGTATCTACCCGGCAATGTGGAAAGTTGCCCAAGTATCTGTACACAAAAAGCAGGACAAATCCAACCTGGCCAATTACCGCCCCATCAGTCTATTCTCAATCATCAGTAAAGTGATGGAAGATGTCGTCAACAGTGCTATAAAACTGCACCTGCTCAGAAATAACCTGCTCAGTGACACCCAGTTTGGATTCTGCCAGGGCC